TTCGTTTGTGGGATCAACACAACTCAAAAACCACTGGATGGATAGACACCAAATTTGGACACAAGACACCTATCATGCCAATGAATGACCGTCACTCATAAAAACACTGAAAAACAGGACTTAAGAAGCCCAAAAAATACATTATAACACATGTGCAAAATAAAAATGTAATGTTCGCTCGTGGGATCAACACAACTCAAAACCCCCTGGGTGAATTGACACCAAATTTGGACACAAGACACCTATGAGGCCAATGAATGACCATCACTCATAAAAAGACTGAAAAACACAACAGAAGAGACATAAAAAGCCAAAAAACAACACATGTGCAAAATAAAAATGTAATGTTTGTTTGTGGGATCAACACAACTCAAAAACCACTGGATGGATTGACGCCAAAATTGGACACAACACACCTGTCAGGCCAACGAGTGACCATCATTCATAAAAACACTGAAAAACACAACAGAAAAGGCTTAAAAAGCCAAACAACAACGCATGTGCAAAATAAAAATGTAATGTTCGTTTGTGGGATCAACACAACTCAAAAACCACTGGGCGAATTGACACCAAAATTGGACACAACACACCTGTCAGGCCAACGAATGACCATCATTCATAAAAACACTGAAAAACACAACAGAAGAGACTTTAAAAAGCAAAAAAACAACAACGAATGTGCTCAATAAAAATGTAATGTTCGTTTGTGGGATCAACACAACTCAAAAACCACTGGATGGATAGACACCAAATTTGGACAGAATACACCTATCATGCCAATGAATGACCATCACTCATAAAAACATTGAAAAACAGGACTTAAGAAGCCCAAAAAATAAAAAATACATTATAATGCATGCGCAAAATAAAAATGTAATGTTCGCTCGTGGGATCAACACAACTCAAAAACCACTGGGTGAATTGACACCAAATTTGGACACAAGACACCTATGAGGCGAACAAATGACCATCACTCATAAAAACACTGAAAAACACAACAGAAGAGACGTAAAAAGCCAAAAAACAACACATGTGCAAAATAAAAATGTAATGTTTGTTTGTGGGATCAACACAACTCAAAAACCACTGGATGGATTGATGCCAAATTTGGACACAAGACACCTATCAGGCTAACAAGTGACCATCGTTCATAAAAACACCAAAAAACACAAAAGAAAAGGCTTAAAAAGCCAAAAATCAACACATGTGCAAAATAAAAATATAATGTTCGTTTGTGGGATTAACATAACTCAAAAACCACTGGATGGATTGACACCAAAATTGGGCACAAGACACCTATCATGCCAATGAGTGAACATCATTCATAAAAACACTGAAAAACACAACAGAAGAGACTTAAAAAGACAAAAATCAACACATGTACAAAATTAAAATGCAATGTTTGTTTGTGGGATCAACACAACTCAAAAACCACTGGGTGAATTGACGCCAAAATTGGACACAAGACACCTGTCAGGACAATGAGTGACCATCACTCATAAAAACACTGAAAAACACAACAGAAGAGACTTTAAAAAGCAAAAATACAACGAATGTGCTCAATAAAAATGTAATGTTCATTTGTGGGATCAACACAACTCAAAAACCACTGGACGGATTGACACCAAAATTGGGCACAAGACACCTATCATGCCAATGAGTGAACATCACTCATAAAAAACTGAGAAACACAACAGAAGAGATGTAAAAAGACAAATAACAACGCATGTGCAAAATAAAAATGTAATGTTCGTTTGTGGGATCAACACAACTCAAAAATCACTGGGCGAATTGACACCAAAATTGGACACAACACACCTGTCAGGCCAACGAGTGACCATCATTCATAAAAACACTGAAAAACACAACAGAAAAGGCTTTAAAAGCCAAAAATCAACACATGTGCAACATAAAAATATAATGTTCGTTTGTGGGATTAACATAACTCAAAAACCATCTGCTTTCTTTCCTTACATCCCGGTTCGTCATGTTCCAATATGGCCGCTCTCCATACGCTAGCACTTCCCACATGACAATGCCGTAGCTCCACACGTCGCTGGCCGAGGAGAACTTCCGATATGTGATGGCTTCAGGCGCCGTCCACCGAACTGGGATCTTCCCACCCTGGAAGATAAAAGATTCAACTGATATAATAACTCACTTGACTCTGCCAACATTTTTTTGAGCTGTGCAAACCATGGAATTCGGAAATCCAAAATCAGAATTTGGGTACCTACAAGAGTTGAATGAAAAGTAATGCCTCCACCTTCGTGGAATTCCACATACCAGAAATGGTTATAGAACATCTCAGATGCTTTCAGGAAGCATCTGGACCAGGAATGGAATTCCACATACCAGGAATGGTTGTAGAACATCTCAAATGCTTTCAGGAAGCATCTGGACCAAGAGTGGATGATGATGCTCTTCATTACCTGGACTGCATAAAAATGGAAACTAAATTCCAAATACTAGAAATAGTTGTAGAACATCTCAAATGCTTTCAGGAAACATCTGGACCAGGAGTGGAATTCCACATACCAGAAATGGATGTAGAACATCTCAGATGCTTTCAGGAAGCATCTGGACCAAGAGTGGATGATGAGGCTCTTCGTTACCTGGACTGCCAAAAATTTAAGCTAAATTCCAAATACTAGAAATAGTTTTAGAACATCTCAGATGCTTTCAGGAAACATCTGGACCAGGAGGGGAATTCCACACACCAGAAATGGTTGTAGAACATCTCAGATGCTTTCAGGAAGCATCTGGACCAAAGTGGAATTCCACATACCAGAAATGGTTGTAGAACATCTCAGATGCTTTCAGGAAGCATCTGGACCAGGAGTGGAATTCCACACACCAGAAATGGTTGTAGAACATCTCAGATGCTTTCAGGAAGCATCTGGACCAGGAGTGGAATTCCACATACCAGAAATGGTTGTAGAACATCTCAGATGCTTTCAGGAAGCATCTGGACCAGGAGTGGAATTCCACATACCAGAAATGGTTGTAGAACGCCTCAGATGCTTTCAGGAAGCATCTGGACCAAGAGTGGACCATGAGACTTCTCCATTACCTGGACTGCCAAAAATTTAAACTAAATTCCAAATACTAGAAATAATTGTAGAACATCTCAGATGCTTTCAGGAAGCATCTGGACCAGGAGTGGAATTCCACATACCAGGAATGGTTGTAGACCATCTCAAATGCTTTCAGGAAGCATCTGGACCAGGAATGGAATTTCACATACCAGAAATGGCTGTGGAACATCTCAGATGCTTTCAGGAAACATCTGGACCAGGAGTGGACCATGAGAGCTCTCCATTACCTGGACTGCCAAAAATTTAAGCTAAATTCCAAATACTAGAAATAGTTGTAGAACATCTCAGATGCTTTCAGGAAGCATCTGGACCAAGAGTGGACCATGAGAGCTCTCCATTACCTGGACTGCCAAAAATTTAAGCTAAATTCCAAATACTAGAAATAGTTTTAGAACATCTCAGATGCTTTCAGGAAACATCTGGACCAGGAGTGGAATTCCACACACCAGAAATGGTTGCAGAACATCTCAGATGCTTTTAAGAAAGCATCTGGACCAGGAGTGGACCATGAGAGCTCTCCTCTACCTGGATTGCCAAAAACTGAAAATAAATTCCAAATACTAGAACTAGTTGTAGAACATCTCAGATTCTTTCAGGAAGCATCTGGACCAGGAGTGGAATTCCACATACCAGAAATGGTTGCAGAGCATCTCAGATGCTTTCAAGGAGGATCTGGACCAGGAGTGGAATTCCACAAACCAGAAATGGTTGTAGAACATCTCAGATGCTTTCAGGAAGCACCTGGACCAAGAGTGGAATTCCACATTCCAGAAATGGTTGTAGGACATCTCAGATGCTTTCAGGAAGCATCTGGACCAGAAGTGGAATTCCACATACCAGAAATGGTTGTAGAACATCTCAGATGCTTTCAGGAAGCATCTGGACCAGGAGTGGAATTCCACATACCAGAAATGGTTGTAGAACGCCTCAGATGCTTTCAGGAAGCATCTGGACCAAGAGTGGACCATGAGACTTCTCCATTACCTGGACTGCCAAAAATTTAAACTAAATTCCAAATACTAGAAATAATTGTAGAACATCTCAGATGCTTTCAGGAAGCATCTGGACCAGGAGTGGAATTCCACATACCAGGAATGGTTGTAGACCATCTCAAATGCTTTCAGGAAGCATCTGGACCAGGAATGGAATTTCACATACCAGAAATGGCTGTGGAACATCTCAGATGCTTTCAGGAAACATCTGGACCAGGAGTGGACCATGAGAGCTCTCCATTACCTGGACTGCCAAAAATTTAAGCTAAATTCCAAATACTAGAAATAGTTGTAGAACATCTCAGATGCTTTCAGGAAGCATCTGGACCAGGAGTGGAATTCCACATACCAGAAATGCTTGCAGAACATCTCAGTTGCTTTCAGGAATCATCTGGACCAAGAGTGGACCATGAGAGCTCTCCATTACCTGGACTGCCAAAAATTTAAGCTAAATTCCAAATACTAGAAATAGTTTTAGAACATCTCAGATGCTTTCAGGAAACATCTGGACCAGGAGTGGAATTCCACACACCAGAAATGGTTGCAGAACATCTCAGATGCTTTTAAGAAAGCATCTGGACCAGGAGTGGACCATGAGAGCTCTCCTTTACCTGGATTGCCAAAAACTAAAAATAAATTCCAAATACTAGAACTAGTTGTAGAACATCTCAGATTCTTTCAGGAAGCATCTGGACCAGGAGTGGAATTCCACATACCAGAAATGGTTGCAGAGCATCTCAGATGCTTTCAAGGAGGATCTGGACCAGGAGTGGAATTCCACAAACCAGAAATGGTTGTAGAACATCTCAGATGCTTTCAGGAAGCATCTGGACCAGGAGTGGAATTCCACATACCAGGAATGGTTGTAGACCATCTCAAATGCTTTCAGGAAGCGTCTGGACCAGGAATGGAATTTCACATACCAGAAATGGCTGTGGAACATCTCAGATGCTTTCAGGAAACATCTGGACCAGGAGTGGACCATGAGAGCTCTCCATTACCTGGACTGCCAAAAATTTAAGCTAAATTCCAAATACTAGAAATAGTTGTAGAACATCTCAGATGCTTTCAGGAAGCATCTGGACCAGGAGTGGAATTCCACATACCAGAAATGCTTGCAGAACATCTCAGTTGCTTTCAGGAATCATCTGGACCAAGAGTGGACCATGAGAGCTCTCCATTACCTGGACTGCCAAAAATTTAAGCTAAATTCCAAATACTAGAAATAGTTTTAGAACATCTCAGATGCTTTCAGGAAACATCTGGACCAGGAGTGGAATTCCACACACCAGAAATGGTTGTAGAACATCTCAGATGCTTTCAGGAAACATCTGGACCAGGAGTGGACCATGAGAGCTCTCCATTACCTGGACTGCCAAAAATTTAAGCTAAATTCCAAATACTAGAAATAGTTGTAGAACATCTCAGATGCTTTCAGGAAGCATCTGGACCAGGAGTGGAATTACACATACCAGAAATGGTTGTAGAACATCTCAGATGCTTTCAGGAAACATCTGGACCAGGAGTGGACCATGAGAGCTCTCCATTACCTGGACTGCCAAAAATTTAAGCTAAATTCCAAATACTAGAAATAGTTGTAGAACATCTCAGATGCTTTCAGGAAGCACCTGGACCAAGAGTGGAATTCCACATACCAGAAATGGTTGCAGAGCATGTCAGATGCTTTCAGGAAGCATCTGGACCAGAAGTGGAATTCCACATACCAGAAATGGTTGTAGAACATCTCAGATGCTTTCAGGAAGCATCTGGACCAGGAGTGGACTATGAAAGATCTCCATTACCTGGACTCTCAAAAATTTAAACAAAATTCCAAATACTAGAAATAGTTGTAGAACATCTCAGATGCTTTCAGGAAACATCTGGTCCAAAAGTGGAATTCCACATACCAGAAATGGTTGCAGAACATCTCAGTTGCTTTCAGGAATCATCTGGACCAAGAGTGGACCATGAGAGCTCTCCACAACCTGAACTGCCAAAAACCAATACTAAATTCCAAATATTAGAAATAGTTGTAGTACATCTCAGATGCTTTCAAGAAGCATCTGGACCAGGAGTGGAATTCCACATACCAGAAATGGTTGCAGAGCATCTCAGATGCTTTCAAGGAGGATCTGGACCAGGAGTGGAATTCCACAAACCAGAAATGGTTGTAGAACATCTCAGATGCTTTCAGGAAGCACCTGGACCAAGAGTGGAATTCCACATTCCAGAAATGGTTGTAGGACATCTCAGATGCTTTCAGGAAGCATCTGGACCAGAAGTGGAATTCCACATACCAGAAATGGTTGTAGAACATCTCAGATGCTTTCAGGAAGCATCTGGACCAGGAGTGGAATTCCACATACCAGAAATGGTTGTAGAATGCCTCAGATGCTTTCAGGAAGCATCTGAACCAAGAGTGGACCATGAGACTTCTCCATTACCTGGACTGCCAAAAATTTAAACTAAATTCCAAATACTAGAAATAATTGTAGAACATCTCAGATGCTTTCAGGAAGCATCTGGACCAGGAGTGGAATTCCACATACCAGGAATGGTTGTAGACCATCTCAAATGCTTTCAGGAAGCATCTGGACCAGGAATGGAATTTCACATACCAGAAATGGCTGTGGAACATCTCAGATGCTTTCAGGAAACATCTGGACCAGGAGTGGACCATGAGAGCTCTCCATTACCTGGACTGCCAAAAATTTAAGCTAAATTCCAAATACTAGAAATAGTTGTAGAACATCTCAGATGCTTTCAGGAAGCATCTGGACCAGGAGTGGAATTCCACATACCAGAAATGCTTGCAGAACATCTCAAATGCTTTCAGAAATCTAAACATTAATGCCATCCAAGGGCCAGGAACCTGCCATCACATAGAAATTACCGTGGTGGTATAAGCTGCCTCGGGATTATTCTCCAGGATCCGGGAGAGTCCAAAGTCGGAGACCTTGCAGACCAAGTTGCCATTGACCAGGATGTTGCGAGCGGCCAGGTCGCGGTGCACATAGCCAAGTTCGGCGAGATACCGCATGCCGGCACCGATGCCCCGCAGCATGACCACTAGTTGGAGGACGGTGAACTGCCCATCGTGTTTCTGCGGAGAGAAGAACCTCTTGAGTTTCTCCAACGAGATGAGAAAGACTCCCACATTAATAATAATAATAATAATAATAATAATAATAATAATAATATATCTCTAATAATATATCTAATATCCTAGGTCCTAATAATAATAATACAACTAATAATAATATATTAGTAGTAGTAGTAGTAGTAGTAGTATTTACATCGAATCATAGAATCCCAGAGTTGGAAGAGACCTTGTGGTCCGTCCAGTCCAACCCCAAGAAGCAGGGAAATCTTAAAGCACTCCCGAAAGATGGCCATCCAGCCATCTACATAACAACACAGCACACATAGAATCATAGAATCAAAGAGTTGGAAGAGACCTCCTGGGCCATCATCCAGTCCAACCCCATTCTGCCAAGAAGCAGGAACATTGCACTCAAATCACCCCTGACAGATGGCCATCCAGCCCCTGTTTAAAAGCTTCCAAAGAAGGAGCCTCCACCACACTCCGGGGCAGAGAGTTCCACTGCTGAACAGCTCTCACAGTCAGGAAGTTCTTCCTCATGTTCAGATGGAATCTCCTCTCTTGTAACTCATTTAGAGCAGCCAGGTATTCCTGTGTGACTTGTTTCCCAATTTGGAGTTGGATGTCCTCAAATCCCTCACCCACTCCATCTTGCTGAGGTTGAAGGTGACTTTCTTTTTGTGAGAAGACCGAGGCAAAGAAGGTATTAAGTAGTTCTGCCTTTTCCCTATCATCCCCTGTCAGCATTGCCCCATCTACTCCTCGAAGAGGCCCTATCACCTCCTTGTTTTTCCTTTTTCTACTGACATAAGAAAAGAATCCCTTTTGATTGTTTTTAATGTCCCTGGCAAGCCTGAGCTCGTTTTGTGCTTTAGCCTTGCGGACCTTTTCCCTACAGGTGTTGGCTATTTGTTTGAATTCTTCTTTGGTGATTTCTCCCTTTTTCCACTTCTTGTGCATGTCTCTTTTGTGTCTTAGCACAGTTAGAAGTTCTTTGGACATCCATTCTGGCATTCGTGCATATTAAGTCCAAGTGTCTGGGATTTGTCTCTGAATATCTGTCTCTTCCAAGGGTCTAGGTTATTAGAAGTTGTTGTTGTTGTTGTTAAATATATAAATATTGTATGTCTAATTAAAATATTAAAAATATTAATAACATAAAATATATAAGCATATAAAATATAAAAAATATGTAATATAAAAATATAATATATATATAATATAAAAATATAAAATATATAAAAATGTAAAAAGAATAATTATAAAAATATTAACAACATAAAATATATTATAGAATATAAATATAATACAATATATATATAAATATATAAAATATAAAAATATAACATATATATATATATATAATATTTTAAATATTTTACATTCTTTTATATTTTACATTTTACCTTTTAATAAAACATAAAGTATAAAAATATAAAATAATAAAAATATTATCAACATAAAATATCTAAAATATATAATGCAATATATAAAAATACATAAAATATAAAAATAATATATATATATATATTAAATATTTCAAATATTTTACATTCTTTTATATTTTACATTTTACCTTTTATTAAAATGTAAAATATAAAAAATATAAAATTATAAAAATATTATCAGCATAAAATATCTATAATATATAATGCAATATATAAAAATATATAAAATATAAAATGTAATATAGATATATAATATTCATGCACACGAGAAGGAGCCATTTGTCTTATTCTTTGGCCCTGTTTTGTTTTGTTTTACCCGGAGAAAGGAATCCAGCGAGCCGTTCTCCATGTACTCGGTCACAATCATGACTAATTTGCCTGCAGGAGACAAGAAAGGTCGCATTAATGGAGAAGTCCCAAGGCTTGGGCCGGTTGTTCGTTCTGCAGCGGGTTTAGTGCGGGCCCATGAAAATGAAAATAAACAATACACAATAATAATAATAACAATAATAATAATAATAATAATAAATAACAACAATAATAAAATAATCTTTATTTCTGTCTAATAGTGCTTGTTTTTATGTGACTGTTGCACTCCAGAGCGGGATTCCTTCTGACTTTAAACACAGCTGAGTTGAAATAGCAAGCAGTTTATTGAGGGTAACAAAAGCCAAAGCAATAAAAAAGTAATCCACAGTAAAAGGTAAATCCAATTGATTAAAAAGTAAAAAAAGCAATTAATCCAAAGAGAAATAGTCCAAAGAAATCTGTTACACTCCAGGCCAAGAAAACAATCATAAAAATAAAATAAACGACAGCAATGATAATAAATACAAATGAATAATAATATAAACAATAATAAAGAAAGTTCTACTTTAAAATGGTAGAAGCACAAAGTTATGACAAGGAAGTACAAAGAGGCAGAAGCATCATTTTTTCTTTCTTTTGTCCTCCTTCCAACCTCCCTCCATCTCTTGCTCTCTCTCTCTCTCTCCCTTCACGAAGCTAAACATACCGGGAATAAAACCCACACAAAACACAAGGACATACAAAGAGGCAGAAGCATCATTTTTTCTTTCTTTCTTTTGTCCTCCTTCCAGCCTCTCTCCATCTCTTGCTCTCTCTCTCTCTCTCTTTCCCTTCACGAAGCTAAACATACTGGGAATAAAACCCACACAAAAACTAAGTAACCCAAAGTTCCTCAAAGTGGACAGCAATCTCCCAAAATGGACATGAGTACTCCCTTGAAGCCCTGGTGCCAGCCTGGGCTGAGCTACAGCTCTTAACTCAAAACACTCTTAAGTTGGGATGCTCTTAAGTTGAGGTTCCACTGTAGTTTAATTCTGCAGAAAATACTAAGGGATGGTCAACTAACTCAAAGTTCCTCAAAGTGGACAATAGCAAAGCGAACAGCAATCTCCCGAAGCAGACAAGGCCTGGAGGCTGCTCCCTTGAAGCCCTAAAATCCCATTCTCTCGCGCTCGCCAAGAGCTTGCTCTTAACTCAAAGCATTGTTCGTATGTCAACGCAAAAACCAAGCTGAGCAAAAACCTGTAACTCGAAATGCTTTCAAGTTGGGATATGTCCACCAATTTAGCAACGTTTCTGCCACAAAAGCAAAGTTTCTGGAGTAGAACAACTACTTTCAATTACAATTAAACAGGAAATAAACATTTTGAAACTACAAAGATTTTCTTTATTATTTTAAAAAGTTTATAAAAACTTTGGAAATTCCCCAAAAAATCTGTGGATGAGTGAAACATTCTGAAATTTGGTGGGCTAAGAGTGGTAAATGTGTTATACCATTGTAGCTCGTTTCACCCTAATAGCTTTGAAAATGAGAAGAACAGGAGCCTCTGAAGTTTCCCCAATTATAATAATTTAATTATGCGCAAGCGCAATTACTGTAACGATATAGTAACAAAATTTCATTAGTCTTGCTATAGTAATGAAATTTTACTAAGTATGCTTTAGGGGTTGTGGTAGTGCAGTGGGTTAAGGACAACAATTTGAATTTGTGGATGGGGGAGCTCCCGTTGTTAGCCCCAGCTTCTGCCAACCTAGCAGTTCAAAAACATGCAAATGTGAGTAACATTTTGAAACTAGAAAAAAGATTTTCTTTTATTATTTTAAAAAGTTTATAAAAACTTTGGAAATTCCCCAAAAATCTATGGATAAGTGAAACATTCTGAAATATGGTGGACTAAGAGTAGTAAATGTGTTCTACCATTGTAGCACATTTCACCCCAAAAACTTTAAAAATGAGAAAGACAGGAGCCCCTGAAGTTTCCCCAATTATAATAATTTAATTATGCGCATGCGCAGTTACTGTAATGAAATAGTAACAACATTTCGTTAGTCTTGCTATAGTAATGAAATTTTCTCTAAGTATGTTTTAGGGGCTGTGGTGGTGCAGTGGGTTAAGGTCGGCGATTTGAATCCATGGATGGGGTGAGTTCCCATTGTTAGCCCCAGCTTCTGCCAACCTAGCAGTTCAAAAACATGCAAATGTAACATTTTGAAACTAGAAAAAAGATTTTCTTTATTATTTTAAAAAGTTTTGGAAATTCCCCAAAAATCTGTGGATAAGTGAAACATTCTGAAATTTGATGGGCTAAGAGCGGTAAATGTGTTCTACCACTGTAGCACGTTTCACCCCAATAGCTTTGAAAATGAGAAAGACAGGATCCCCCGAAGTTTCCCCAATTATAATAATTTAATTACGCGCATACACAATTACTGAAATGATATAATAACAACATTTCGTTAGTCTTGCTATAGTAATGAAATTTTCACTAAGTATGCTTTAGGGGCTGTGGTGGTTGAGTGGGTTAAGGTCGGCGATTTGAATCATGGATGGGGTGAGTTCCCATTGTTAGCCCCAGCTTCTGCCAACCTAGCAGTTCAAAAACATGCAAATGTGAGCAACATTTTGAAAATAGAAAAAAAGATTTTATTTATTATTTTAAAAGTTTATAAAAACTTTGGAAATTCCTCAAAAAATTGTGGATAAGTGAAACATTCTGAAATATGGTGGGCTAAGAGCGGTAAATGTGTTCTACCATAGTAGCACGTTTCACCCCAATAGCTTTATAGTATAATATAGTTCCGTTAGTTTTGGAAATTACCCAAAAATCTGTGGATAAGTGAAACATTCTGAAATTTGGTGGGCTAAGAGCGGTAAATGTGTTCTACCATAGTAGCACGTTTCACCCCAATAGCTTTATAGTATAATATAGTTCCGTTAGTTTTGGAAATTCCCCAAAAATCTGTGGATAAGTGAAACATTCTGAAATTTGGTGGGCTAAGAGCGGTAAATGTGTTCTACCATAGTAGCACGTTTCACCCCAATAGCTTTATAGTATAATATAGTTCCATTAGTTTTGGAAATTCCCCAAAAATCTGTGGATAAGTGAAACATTCTGAAATTTGGTGGGCTAAGAGCAGTAAATGTGTTCTACCATTGTAGCACGTTTCACCCCAATAGCTTTATAGTATAATATAGTTCCGTTAGTCTTGCTATAGTAATGAAATTTTCACTAAGTATGCTTTAGGGGCTGTGGTGGTGCAGTGAGTTAAGGTCAGCTATTTGAATCCATGGATGGGGTGAGCTCCCACTGTTAGCCCCAGCTTCTGCCAACGTAGCAGTTCAAAAACATGCAAATGTGAGCAACATTTCGAAAATAGAAAAAAATATTTTCTGTATTATTTTAAAAGTTTATAAAAATGTTGGAAATGCCCAAAAAAATCTGTGGATAAGTGAAACGTTCTGAAATTTGGTGGGCTAAGAGCGGTAAATGTGTTCTACCACTGTGGCACGTTTCACCCCAATAGCTTTGAAAATGAGAAAGACAGGAGCCCCTGAAGTTTCCCCAATTATAATAATTTAATTACGCGCATACGCAATTACTGTAATGATATAATAACAACATTTCGTTAGTCTTGCTATAGTAATGAAATTTTCACTAAGTATGCTTTAGGGGCTGTGGTGGTTGAGTGGGTTAAGGTCGGCGATTTGAATCATGGATGGGGTGAGTTCCCATTGTTAGCCCCAGCTTCTGCCAACCTAGCAGTTCAAAAACATGCAAATGTGAGTAACATTTTCAAACTAGAAAAAAGATTTTATTTATTATTTTAAAAGTTTATAAAAACTTTGGAAATTCCCCAATAATCTATGGATAAGCGAAACGTTCTGAAATTTGGTGGGCTAAGAGCGGTAAATGTGTTTTACCATAGTAGCACATTTCACCCCAATAGCTTTATAGTATAATATAGTTCTGTTAGATTTGGAAATTTCCCAAAAATCTGTGGATAAGTGAAACATTCTGAAATTTGGTGGGCTAAGAGCGGTAAATGTGTTCTACCATAGTAGCACGTTTCACCCCAATAGCTTTATAGTATAATATAGTTCTGTTAGATTTGGAAATTCCCCAAAAATCTGTGGATAAGTGAAACATTCTGAAATTTGGTGGGCTAAGAGCAGTAAATGTGTTCTACCATTGTGGCACGTTTCACCCCAATAGCTTTATAGTATAATATAGTTCCGTTAGATTTGGAAATTCCCCAAAAATCTGTGGATAAGTGAAACATTCTGAAATTTGGTGGGCTAAGAGCGGTAAATGTGTTCTACCATTGTAGCACGTTTCACCCCAATAGCTTTATAGTATAATATAGTTCCGTTAGTTTTGGAAATTCCCCAAAAATCTGTGGATAAGTGAAACATTCTGAAATTTGGTGGGCTAAGAGTGGTAAATGTGTTCTACCATTGTAGCACGTTTCACCCCAATAGCTTTATAGTATAATATAGCTCCGTTAGTCTTGCTATAGTAATGAAATTTTCACTAAGTATGCTTTAGGGGCTGTGGTGGTGCAGCGAGTTAAGGTCAGCTATTTGAATCCATGGATGGGGTGAGCTCCCACTGTTAGCCCCAGCTTCTGCCAACGTAGCAGTTCAAAAACATGCAAATGTGAACAACATTTTGAAAATAGAAAAAAAGATTTTATTTATTATTTTAAAAGTTTATAAAAATGTTGGAGATTCCCAAAAAATCTGTGGATAAGTGAAACGTTCTGAAATTTGGTGGGCTAAGAGCGGTAAATGTGATCGAAAACATGCAAATGTGAGTAGACCATAGGTACCACTTCAGCAGGATGGTAGTGGTGGTCGATGTAGTCATGCTAGTCACATGACCTTGGAGGCGTCTATGGACAATGCCAGCTCTTTGGCTTAGAAGTCCAGGGCTCCTGGAGTTGGGTTGAGACAAATGCAGCCACAGTGTGAAGACGCACAACGACTTCTACCAACCAATTCCCGGACTTACTTTTGGTGACGACCCCTTCCAGGTGGATGACGTTGGGGTGGTCGAACTGCGCCATGATGCTGGCTTCACTCAGGAAGTCCCGCCTCTGCTTCTCGGTGTAGCCGGCCTTCAGAGCCTTGACCGCCACAGGCATCTCCCGCTTGCCGGGCAACTTCAGCCGGCCGTAGCACACTTCGCCTGACTCTCCTGCAGAGCAAAAGAACGAGACGTCCTTAAGACATCGATGGGATCTTCTTGGGAGGATGGAATACGATATTGAGGCCTATCTAATTCAACTATCCTAATCTATATAAGTAAAAATGTAAAGTTAGTTTGTGGGATTCACATAACTCAA